CTCGGCCTGGAGAAAGCTCTTTTTTCTTTACATGAGAGAACAAATGAAAAACAACAGACCAGAAACTGATCAAAGCGAAACGATAAAAGATGACTACACAAGATTAACTGCGGGTTAAAACTGATGAAAAAAGAAATGTATAAAAAAGAAACAAAAAAAAAAAAAAAACAGAAGGAACACAAGAGAAGAGCAAGTGCTGCCAAAAATGTTGCTCACTGCGGCAAAATAACTGGAGAGATTAAGTGTGTTTATACAGTACGTGTGTGTGTGTGTGTGTGTGTCAGTGTGTGTGTGTGTGGGAGAAGACATCAATATACACACCTCCATGGTTGAGGTCAGTTCAAAGCTATGCTGACAGCGCGCTGACTAATGACCCGTGTGATAAACACATCCTGATTTCACCAGGTGTGTGTGTGTGTGTGTGTGTGTGTGTGTACAGAGTGCAGCTGTTGAGGCCAGTTAGTTTGAATGATGTCATCAGGGTGAAAACAGAAAGGTCATGTGATGAAGAGACAGAGATAAATACAGTGGGAGAGAAAATGTGGACGTAACGCTGAAGCTAACAGTTACATCTGTTAATGTTGAGAATATTATCTTAATGCACAAGTACAAAGTTCTATAATAATAATAATAATAATAATAATGATAATAATAATAATAATAATAATAATAATAATAATAATAATAATAATAATAATAATAATAATAATAATAATAATAATAATAATAATAATAATAATGATCCTTTGGCTCAATGTAAAGGAAAACTTTGGATTATCATTATTAAAAACAGCCACTGCTACATTACAGAGATGGAGATTCTTCCCACAGCCGCCATTTTATCCTGACCTTCAACAAACTACAGATTAGAGGCACAAAAAAAGTAATAGGAAATAGACCAGAATGCAATGCAGCTACAAAACATGCCTGGAGTCTGAGTAAGGAGACTGTAACTCGTGGTTTTGTCTTGCTCGCTTTTGTTATCACTCCCAAACTGAGTCATTCAATTTAACACGAATTTAACACCTTTGTATTCATTCTCCAAATGCTGACCTCATCGATTCGGGGAAATGTAGGACATCACAGAGGGAAGTGGAGAACATGCAGTGAAAGTACATTTCAATATTTCATTACTAAATACACCTACATAACAGATTCAATGGCAAATTTTAACGGATTAAGAAAAAAAATCTATGTTGTAGTTTGTTGTTATTATTGTTCATTGTCCTGTTGTTCACCAGTTGTACTTTTATTCATGTACACCTCGCTGTTCTGCTGTGTCGTAATGTATATTATCGTTTTTTCTTAACTTTTTCTGCCCCTTAGAGCAACACACACATCATTTTTCACTGTGAATTCATCCCTTTTATGATGTGACGATATAAGATTTGGTTGAATTTAGGCAGAAAAACAACTTGGTAACAGGGTTGAAGAAAGATTTGGGTTAAAATTACTACTTTGTCATAGTTACAATAAAAACCATGTGGTCGGAGAACGATCGTGGTTAACAGAGCTCGACTTTGACGAACAGCAGCTGTTTTAACCTGATTTAAAAAACTTAATCGAGACGTGTCAGTAGTTTCTTTAATGTCTGTGTTAGTGATGAAATTAAATATAAATAACTACCAGGAAATAAAAGCATTTCCCATATATACTTTAAACTTTTAAAGAAACTTGGACATTTGGTGAAGGTTAGGGGAAGATCACAAACATTCATATACTCGTATATATACATATATATATATATATCTGATACCTGCTATTTGCCAGTGGTTAAATTAACATCTGGCTAGAACAAAGGCTTTCATTACCAAGAAGGGGAAATATTTTATTACTCATTCTGCCTCGTCATATTAATCTTGGCCACATGGGGCTTAATTCTCACTGGGACTGGAATTTTGGAATTTCCATCTTTCCACCTTAAATAGCTCTTTCCTTCCATCTGTTCTCACATTAATCAGACCCTCCTCTCTTGCTCTCTTTTCTCTTCCCTCTCTCTCTTCTCCTGGATGAAAAGGTGAAGCTTTAACAATGAGAGTGACACTGTCTCAGTGTGTGTTTTTAGGTGTGTGTGTGTGTGTGTGTGTGTGTTGTAAGGTTTTTATTTCCAGGAAACTCTCACATAAACACATTTACACAGATACACACACACACTCTGTACCAATGAAGTGGGGCTTGTTGTGTGGTATCCCTGTGTGTGTGTGTGTGTGTGTGTGTGTGTGTGTGTGTGTGTCTGTGGTCTTGGAGGGAAACGGTTGCCGCCGGTGTTGTTGGAAACGTAAACAAATGTGTATGTTTACGGGCGGGTGAAAAAGCAACATCTGAGACGGCTAACAAACGACTGTTTACTGAAGTGCTGTGTGTGTGTGTGTGTGTGTGTGTGTGTGTGTGTGTGTGTGTGTGTGTGTCTCTGTGTGTGTGTGTCTGTCTGTGTGAATTTTGGCAGCAGACCAAAGGAGAGAGGGTAGACCGCATGACAAGGAAACATAAACACAAACACACTCTCTCCCTCTCATATTCACACTCTCTCTCTCTCTCACACACACACACACACACACACACACACACACACACACACTGAATTAATTGATTCAGTTATGTTCCACTGAACTTTGTGCTGAATTACTGTAATCACTATAATGACTTTTAAACAAGCCTTTAAAGTTTTATAGACTTTTCTCACTCACTCTCCCTCCCTCCCTCGCTCTCTCTCTCTCTCTCTCTCTCTCTCTCTCTCTCTCTCTCTCACACACACACACACACACACACATTAATACTCAAAGAGAGAGGATTTATCTATAAACCTTGTTAAGTATTATAAATTAGCTGCATAACCGTGTCTATTCAAACGAGTCAGTGCTGGATGTTTGGTCCAGTACTCGACCTCCTTTGGTTCAGTGTCTCCTGTGCACAATAATAATTCATCTTAAATTAACTCACTGCTGTCAAACTACGTCTCCATCACATGCAGAACACAACTGCCGGGCAGCTGCAGTGTGACAGCTGGGACAAATGAGACACCAGAGAAGAAGAATTTACATGTTCCTCAACGAGTTACAGCAAAACTGAACAACGAGACGAGGATCGGACGGGGCATCACTGACTGACTGAAATGTGTGTTACTTTTTCTTATTGACCATGTGTCCTTGTTTTAGTGCCACACTTTTTACAGTGTTATGTTATAAAACAGAGTTGTAACCTGGTGCGATACAACGTGCAACAAATCGATTCAAACGCCGCGACTCAACGACGCAAATCGTCATCTTGCTCTTTTCACCATTTTGCACAAGTGCAACATGAAAAAATGACTGATTTTACTTTTTAGTTTCACGGAGAGAAGGAGGAATGAGGAAGGGAGGAGGGTGAGGAATAAATAAAAGAGGGAGGAGAGGACAGACTGTAATTGATGACCTTGTCAGAAACACCTCCATAAACTTCAGCCGAGACTAAATGATCCATAAGGTGTGTGTGTGTGTGTGTGTGTGTCAAAATGTGAATGTATACTTATGATTTTATGAGTGTGTCCCGCCTTGTATGTGCTAAAGTGTGCGGCGTGTATATCCATGTTTTTATGGGTGTGTCTGCACTGTGTATCCATGTGTACAGTGTGTGTGTCATACCTGTAGTTTTTTGGGTTGTTTTTGCATATGTGTGTGTCTGTGGGTGTGTGTGTGTAGTGATGCATTTAAATACGAGTGTGTGTGTGTGTGTGTGTGTTGGCTGTAAAGTGTACCATGAATAGGCTTCATGTTTTTACCCGCCGAAGCCTAAAATCTTCACCAGGGGACCGGCTTATATGAGGCTGTCCACCAACACACACAGCGCAACAACACACACACACACACACACACACACACACACAGATGCAGAAAAGGCAACAGATCATCACCATTACTTATTTTTTGTACAAAATCACTGATCTCTTCCGAACAGATATGTTATATTTTAAGGTGGATCTCTGAGTATTTACACCTTTCTCTTATTGAACTTCAGCAATTCTTTGTATTTTGGAAACTGATCAAATTCCATTCACTGAAGAAAGCCGTGAGATACAGTTAAAAGCTCTGGGAAAGGCTTAAGACTGAACCTTCATCTTAGAGCATCTTATCTAAAAGAAGCCATGCTACCATTACAAAGATGAGTGTTCTCTGGTTATGGTTAAGGTTTTGTAAAGACCGACGTTATGGTTAAAAAGAAAGCAGCACTGACTGTTGGAGACTGGATGCAAACTGCTGCCTCCGGTGTCGAGGTAAAGATGCTTTTGACGTCCAACCATCTACCTTTTTGTGGCACGAGAACAATGTCACACAACTTCCTCCTTTATTTCTGACAGACGACGGTTATTTGAACGAAAGAGGTCAGGAAGATGTAAACACAAGGCTGTTTAAAGTATGTGATCAAGTGATCTATTGTTTTCCTGGGGAGGACAGTTTAAGAAGACACCCATTTACAATGACACCAATTAGAAGCCTGAACAGAATTAATTAGGCTTCCAATGATCCTAATTAGCTTGAATGTGAGAAGAAAAATTATTTGAAAGGCCAGAGAGATTCTGCTAAAACTGCCAGATGTTGGTGAACCAACACTTTTATTTGTAGTACTAGTAATTAGACCCATGATGATTAACTTAACACGTGAGTGTCATGTGATTTTATCCGTGGTATCACAATGAAAAGTGTCTCGGGAGTGAATGTACAACTGTGCACCGCTCAGCGTAACTTCAGAATTTGATTCAACAATTTATGATGGAACATTTATTATTCATGGCAGAGCGGTTCTGTGTCAAGGGCGGGCGCACACACACACACACACACACACACACACACACTGTAGAGCTTTGTCCATGTCAGAAACAGTGTGTGTGTGTGTGTGTGTGTGTGTGTGTGTACTGCATCAGCTCATCATACCTGTTTTCCTCTCCTCATTCCCCAACCTTTATCCTGACCTCATTTGCCACCCCCCCCTCCCCACCTTCCTTCCCCTCCCTCCCCCCGACTCACCGGGAGCAGCCAGGTTCTGGACCTGGGCGGGGACCTGGACGTTGGCCTCGGACGCCAGGGTGAGACGACCTCCCTTCCCGATGCGATCACACATCAGGGTGATGTGCTTCTTGAGGCGGTCGGTGTCACGGGGGAGGGTGAGCACAGGGCCTCCCGCCTGGGCCAGAGATGTGGCCTGGTCCTTGGGGCTCCGCGACAGGCAGCTCCGCAGGAGGTGGGAGACGGCAGCGTCGCAGCTCTCCTCCCAGCCCTGAGGAGACAGGAGGAAGGTGAGGAGTGAGGATGCAAGTGTGTTGTTGTTGTTGTTGTTGTTGTTGAGGGAAGAGAGATGAGGGAGAGTCGGTCACAGGGAAGACTCAAAGCTAATCAACAGTTGGTCATGAAAAAAACAAAAGAGCAGGAAAGAAAAAGAAGGAGGGGGATAGGAGGACAAGGATAGGAGATAGAGAAGTTTGGGAAAAGAAGGAAACAAGAGAGGAGAGGAAGAACTGATGAGAACAGGGGTAAGAGCAGGTGGAGAAAAGATGGTGAGCGCAGAGAAGAGGGAAGAAAGGAAGGAGAAAAACAGTAAAAGGAGGACAAGAGGAAGAAGTTGAAGGAAATGGATTGAAAGACAAGAGATGGAGCGCAAAAGGAGAGAAGTAAAGGAGCGAAGGAGGAAGAACAGGAAAGGGAGGATGAAGAGGCAGATTTAATGAACAATCATTGCTTGACATTTAATTAAATAAGAAACATACAATTGAAAGGGAGGAACACACACACACACACACACACACACACACACACACACACACACACACACACACACACACACAGGTAATAAAAAGCAGTGAGGAGATGAGATCCATGTCTCTTGCCACTCTCTCTCTTTCTGTCGTCTCTGGCCAAGATATCTCGTCTGGGCATCTCTGACCTCACACACACACACGCACGCACACGCACGCGCGCCCGCGCACACACACACACCTATCTTGTCCTATAAAACCCCTAAATCTACAACCAGCGCTCTCAACGGGTGACCCTGGATGGGTGAGTCCAAGGGAGGGAGGTGATGTGCATATGTATGTGTGTGTGTGTGTGTGTGTGTGTGTGTGTGTGTGTGTGTGTGTGTGTGTTTCGGTGTGTTGACAGGTCCCCTCCCACCCTCCCCTTTTCCCAAGCCCCCCACCTCCCTCACCCCTCCTCCCCCTGCCTGCCGCCATGCTGATAGGCCCCTAATGAGCCATAATGACAGGTAATCAACCCTGTAATGATGATGACAGAGCGACAGAGACAGAGA